GACCTGAATCCATCTTTTCCGGCGACTTTCATCTTCCCAGCAGCATCCATTTGAACTTTTTCACCACCTTTGAAATTGAAGAAATCTTTGAATAAACCTTTAAATTCCCCACTGCTCATAGCTCCGGCATTGACTCCTGCTTGATTTTCTAGTAGTTTTCTTCCATGATCTTTACCTCCGAGGTAGGGCATATATTTAGAAAAATTATCATACAAGGTGTTGATTTCTCCACCGGTTTGTTCTTCGGTTAACTCTCTTCCGTGTTTCTTACCTTCGAGGAAAGAACCAAAGAATTGGAAATACTTGTCGTACTTACTTTGGTACGAACCGTTGACTTTTCCAGTGGTGTTGTTCCCTGCTTTTTCTTCGGCTAATTCTCTTCCTTCTTCAAGTGCTCTTGCATGATGAGCAACTTTCTTCACCTTCTGTTCCTCAAAATCGTTAACTAGATCCATGAAATCAGTGATTGAACTCCTGAAATATAGTATAGCATCGCCAATCTTATTCGATTCACGTAAGCTGATGTTAGCATCAGCCTTGTAATTATGTTTGGCTGAGATCTTTGAGATTGCATTTTGAATATGACGAAGCCTCTTTATAAAACCAACACAGCTTTCCTTTAGCTTCAAGGAAGTTTTCTTATCGACTTTACCGCTAATACTAGCTTCCACCGCAAGAATAGCTTTCGTTGTTAGGGCATATTTGTTCTTGAGAATTCCAGAAACATCTACGATGGGCTTCCCAAATTTGTAGAGGTTCTCAAGGTACTTGACATAGCCTTTGCACATTGTGAACATTGCCTTAATTTTGGCAGTTTTTGGGGCAAACTTTTCTTTATGGTTTATGATCTCAGTGATTTTGGCAAAGGGTAAGGTCTGGAGTTCGGATACGGTTTTTGGAAATAATGGTGACGGAGGTTCATAACTATCAACGGAAAGGAACAATGAGCTAAGGGCTAGAGAGATGGCTAAAGATAACAACAAAGAGATCCTTGCCATGGTTGTATTGCTTATGGCAAGTAAATGTTAAAAAAAAAGACGAAAAGGCAGAGAAATATAAGAAGGAAGTGCTTTTTGATTTGAGATCTTGGAAAGTTATATATACTTTGTTCTGAATTTGTATAAGCTAATTATAGGATACAAAAATGGTTAGTCATGAGAAAGAAAAAAACAAGACAATGAGATATTAATGGAAATATGTTAAATTTTTGTAAAGAATTTTAGTGAACGATACAAGAATAGGAGAACAAATCGTATCAGTTTCAATCAAGTTGTTACTTAAGTTAAAACAAAGAAAACAAAAATTCGTTTTTGTAATGATTAAACAGAAAATGTTATTCACCCCCGATCGAGTCCAGAGACCATCTCTTTTTCCGCTGCAACTTCTCAGAACCAATATGGAGCAACTTCACAAGAAGCTGCTTCATACTCAATACACGAGTCAATGGGATGATGTTCTTTTGCAGTCCAACATTAGAGAAGACAACAACCCTCCTGATCCGCTGTGTGTTTCAGTCTCTGATACACACTTTATGGCAAGAAAGAAACATCAGGAGACATGGCGAATCTTCTAAAAACCAAACTTCTATCATTAACTTCGGGGACAGAGAGGTCCGGAACCGGATGGATAACCTCCAAGGTGTTGGTCGTGGGAAATATGGTCAAGCTTTTGCAATTTGGTGTGAATCAATATAAAGGACTCTAGTTTCTATAATGGAAACAACAATGTTATATTTACTGTAAAACTGTTTTTTTTATCTGAATATAATTTAACATTTATTCAAAAAAAGAAAAACTAGTAAATGTTACCCAGGCTTTCCATGTTAGGGTTATAGTTTGTTTATATATGTGTGCGTACTTCTCTAACAGAAGTAAATGTTTGCTGGTTCCTTCTTATCAAATTAATTGTTATTTGAGAATTGTTTCCTTTTGAAATAAAATGTATCAAGTAGCTTTCACATTTTCAGATTGACTCGTCAATGACCTAGACAAATATTCAGAAATACTGAGTTTAATGCAAAAGAAGGGAAGGTATTGCTTCAAATGTGATGGAAAGTACTTCAAAAGTCGTACTTGTTCTAATAAGGTGATGCGAGTATTGAAGGTAGTGATGAAGAAGAAGCGAGAGTATGAAGAGCAGTACGCTATACAGTGCCCGGCTCTTGGAGCAAGCAGGAGAAGCAGGTGCTTGCGGTCGTATCATTTATGTATGATTTTCGGCCGCATATTAATAACAATTCATTTTGTCTAGTGGTAGAGTTTTCTTCTCTCCTTGAAAAAGGACAAGGGTTCGAAGGCTCTTGTAGGCATTTAAGCTACTTATTATATTTTTTTCTGTTTTTAGTCTTTTAAAAGTGGCCTTTTTTTCCTCTCTTGCTTCCAGCCATCAAATTTCTAGGACCGGCTCTAACGCCACTAACTGATGGTTGTTTTCCTAAAGTCTTTTTGATGAGTCCTTCTCTTATTTAAGAGTATAAAAATGCATGGCATGATTGGAAAGACAGAAGTGTGATTTCCTCTGTATTACGTCTATGGCTATGCCCTTTGTCTTGACGACATTGTATGTTTTATCTTGTCGATGCAACTGTTAGTGTGTGATTATATCTTGAGCTTCCACTATAAGAAAATATACTGGACCTCAACGACAAAAATAGTCATATTTTCTTAGAAATGTTTTCTTCCGATGAAGAAATCGACAAAAACATTCATCAGTTCTGATTTGTAGAAATTATTTTTTTTTCAGAAACTTTTCCGATGAATTATAGAGGACTTTAAATTACAATCCGACAAAATTCAGACAGCAATTTCCGAAAAGATTGACGACATTCCCCGTCTAATTTCTGACAATATCATCATTTTTTTAATTAAGTAGTTAATAAAAACAAAACTTAGACTTATTCAAAATAAAATTAAAAATTAACTTTTAAAAATAATTAGAATTGAACTAATATTTATCTAAAATAAGTTAAATTCATAAATTAAAGAATATCAATTGTTTAATTACTAATAACGTTTTAAAAAGATTTATTAAAGTAAAAATCTTAGAGATAAAGGTAGATATGTTTTAAATTCTAAATCATTTATAATTTAAATATGAAGACATTGGTTTTTTGATAAATTTTTATTTAATTTTTTTTCCCGAAAGTGTTGATTTGAGAAAAGTATATTCTGTAAAGAATAATATTATTAGATTTATATATTGTATTAGACAATAACAAATTAAATACATATTTTTAATAAGATAATTCTTATAGAATATTATGATGTTGTCTGGAAATAATACACTTAATGTTTACATATAATTTATTATATAGTTAAAAATAATTAATAATAATAATTTAGATTTAATATATTATATTAGATAATTGATTATAAATTAGTAGGATAATTAGAAAAATAAATACATTAAAATAAGATAATTTTTATATAATATTATATCGTTGTCTGGAAATGATGTTTTTTTCCTATTATGAAAACTAAAAATTTAAGTTATAAGAGAATTTAAAATTACATATTAAAAAAATATGTACAAAAATATTTTCTAAAATATTTGTAATGTGTTAATGTTTTTCAACACAATAATAAGTATATATATATTTTGATGAAAATTTTACATATAAAAATAATTTTATGTTAGATTTAAGTATTTAAAACCATAGAAAATAATTTATGATGTTATTTTGGAATGAATGAAGACAAAAGATAATAAATATTCATAAGAAAATTATGTTCAAATGTACTAGCACAACACCTAGTTTAACTACAAAACGCAGTAGTATATTGATAGGGATAAAATGGCCCTCGACAGAAGCAGTACAAGCATCTGCTTCTGGCCTTTACTATAAAATAGAATTTTCGACCATTTTTGTAGAATTTATCACTAGCTCAGATGGTTAAAGTAGCAGCTGTTTCTCTTATAGGTAGCAAGTTCAAATTCACCTGATGTTCTTTTTTTTTGTGGGGAGATTTCAACCTTTGTTTTATTTTAGTTTTTTAGGGTTGGCCCTCGGATAAACGATATTAGGAAAAAATTCTCAAGTTATATAAAAATGGTTAATGCTTGGTAGGTTTATAATTATAGAATATACCCAGATACTACTCAACCATTTCTCTACTAAATTTGTATATGATTTAAGAATATACAATCTCCGTTTCAATTTAGTTGTTGTTTTAGATATTCGCACACAGATTAAGAAAACATTTAATTTTATATATTTTCTTGAAAAAACACAATTACCTATATATCTAACCACATTTCAACCAATAAAAAAATATAATAATAGATAAAGTCAATAAATTCTACATTAAAATTATAAAAAGACACTTCGAAATTTTTTTTCTTCAACGATAAATAAACTGAAACGGAGAGACTATTGATTTAAATGTGGTTGTTTTTGTAGAAGGGAAACAAAAACTTTTCTTAGTGGCTCGATTTAGTTAATAATTGAACAATTATAGTATTTAAGGAAGTAAGATTTGTGGAATTGGCATATGTGTCCGTGTCTCTTGTAGTTATGAATAGAATCATATATGTGGTTCATTTCTCTCTTTCGGAAATCGACATTCTTGACTGTGGGATTAGCGTCAACGGTTGCAACCTCTCCGAAAACTAATATTAATTAACTTGGTAAGTCTTATTGAAAGAGATGCCATTTTTCCAAAAAAAAAAAGAAAAAAGTCATAAGGAAATAATATTGTCAGATCTGGACAATCTGACTCGTTTTTGCTCTTCCGTTTTACTTAGTTCAAACTACGACTTATAAATCTTTCTCAGTCACAGTTTGATTCCATTTTAATGTGTATTTAGCTGTCTGAACCGATTCTAAGTTTGCTCAAGACATTGTTCTTATTTATCGTTGGAGCATTATGTTCTGGTTCTCTTTCCAGAATAAATTATTTTGTTCCAAAATAAATGATGTTTCGAAGAGTTTTTAATTTATTTTTAAAATACCTGATTTTTAATATTTTTATATAAATATCTCAAGGCATTTTCTTTCAAATTGTTAAGAAATAATAATAAAAGTTAATATATATATATATATAGATGAACTCATGGCTTCCTTCGTCTATTGTGATGAATCGCATGCTATAATGCCTCGTTCGAAACAAATAGTTTATGATGTGCCCGCATGCTATAATGCCTCGTTCGAAACAAATAGTTTATGATGTGCCCGGTTCATTGACCTGAATCCATCTTTTCCGGCGATTTTCATCTTCACAGCAGCATCCATTTGAACTTTTTCACCACTATTGAAATTGAAGAAATCTCTGAATAAACCTTTAAATTCTCCACTGCTCTGAGCTCCATTATTGACTCCTGCTTGATCTTCTAGTAGTTTTCTTCCATTATCTTTACCTCTGAGGTAAGGCATATATTTAGCAAATTTCTCATACAAGTTGTTGATTTTTCCACCGGTTTGTTCTTCGGTTAACTCTCTTCCGTGTTGCTTACTTTCTAGGAAAGAAACAAAGAACTGGAAAATATTTAGGCGAGAAGGTAAATAAAATATGGAGAAATTTTAAATTTCTAAAAATTTAATTTTGTAGGAAAAGAATTGATGTTTATTTGAGAAAAAAACAAACTAAATTCAATAGTTAAAACCTAAAAGTTTTAATACAAAATTTAATAGCTAAAACCTAAGATTTTACACAATTTAAAAGTTTCAATAGTTAAAACTATAGTTTTCGGCCTATTGTTTTAATCAATTTTATTTGAGAAAAAACATACTAAACTATAGTTTTCGGCCTATTGTTTAATTATGCGATAAGAAAATTATTAGGTAGAGATACCGCAAGTTTCATTTAGTTACATATAGATAAGCATCCCATGTCATTTTCTTTCACAATAATATTAAAAGGAAAAAAAATCTAAATAAAGATGAACTCATGGTCTCCTTCGTCTGTTTTGATGAATTGCATGATATTGTGCCTCCTTAGAGACAAAAAGTTTCTAATCTATGTGCCCGGTTAATTGACCTTAATCCATTTTTTCCGGCGACTTTCATCTTCCCAGTAGCATCCATTAAAAAAATTTCCCCACTATTGAAATTGAAGAAATCTTTGAATAAACCTTTAAATTCTCCACTGCTCTGAGCTCCGTTATTGACTCCTGCTTGATCTTCTAGTAGTTTTCTTCCATTATCTTTATCTCTTAGGTAAGGCATATATTTAGCAAATTTCTCATTCAAGTTGTTGATTTTTTCACCGGTTTGTTCTACGGTTAACTCTCTTCTGTGTTGCTTATCTTCTAGGAAAGAACCAAAGAACTGGAAATACTTTTCATACTTACTTTGGTCCGAACCGTTGACTTTTCAGTGATGTTGTTCCCTGCTTTTTCTTTGGTTAATTCTCTTCGTTCTTCAAGAGCTCTTGCATGATGAGCAACTTTCTTCAGCTTCTGTTCCTCAAAATCGTTAACTAGATCCATGAAATCCGTGATCGAACTCCTGAAATACAGTATAGCATCACTAATCTTATTTGATTCACGTAAGCTGATGCTAGCATCAGCCTTGTAATTATATTTGGCTGAGATCTTTGAGATTACATTTTGAATATGACGAAGCCCTTTTATAAAACCAACACAACTTTCCTTTAGCTACAAGGGAGTTTTCTTATCGAATTTACTGCTAAATTGAAATGATTTAGAATATACTCCATCCGTTTCAATTTAGTTGTTTTAGATTTTCGCACACAGATTAAGAAAACATTTAATTTTACAATTTTTTTTTGCAAAAACACAATTACCTATATATCTAACCACATTTCAACCAAAAAAAATAATAATAGATAAAGTCAATAAATTTTACATTAAAATTATAAAACGACATTTATTTTGAAACCAAAATTTTCTTCAACGATATATAAACTGAAAAGGAGAGACTATTGATTTAAATGTGGTTGTTTTCGTAGAGGGGAAACAAAAACTTTTCTTAGTGGCTCGACTTAGTTAATAATTGATCAAGAAATTTCTCACAAATTCTGGGAAAAAAAATTTCGACCAAATAGTACTAATGAATGTTTTCAACTAGTTTGTTGGAAATAGCCATTTCAAGCCAAAATATGGTCGTTTTTGTTGTTGGCGTCTGGTATATGTTCTTGTGGTGTAAGCACAAAATAAGCTGTGCTAATAGTTGCACTGACAAGATAAGACAAACATTGTCGTCAAGACAAAGGGCATAGGCATAGACGCAATACAGAGGAATAATCATTTATGTATTTCCAATGCTATGCACTGTAATAGTCTTAAATAAGAGAATTAATCATAAAAATAAGAATTTAGGAACACATCCATCAGTTCTTGTTCTATTATAGCTTACCTCTTCATACTCTCGATTCTTCCTCACTACCTTCAATACTTGCAGCACCTTAATATATAAAAAAAAAAGAAAATTCCATAAAAATAAATCAACTAAATTTTATTAAAATTTTTAATATTCAATAACATTTAATCTGATAAGGAGGAAGGAGCCACCATTATCGATCTGTTAGAGAAGTATGCACTCATATATAAAGAAACTAAAATCATAACACGAAAAACCTAGGTAACAGTGTTTTTTTTGTTTTTTCTTCTAGGTAACAGTTTCCATTTATTTCATTCCAAATACAAATTTTTGTTTTATTTGTTTTAACTTCAGTGACGATTTGATTGAAACTGATATGATTTGTCCTCCTATTTCTTGTATCATTCACTAAAACTTTTACAAAAGGAAAATTAACAGACTTCCATCAATATCTCATTGTCTGTTGTTTTTCTCTTTCTCATGACTAACCATTAATATATCCTATAACTAGCTTATACAAATTCAGAACAAAGTATATATACCTTCCCAAGATCTCAAATCGGAAAGCACCTCCTTCTTATATTTCTCTCCCTTTTAGTTTTTCTTTAACATTTCCTTGCCATAAGCAATACAACCATGGCAAGGATCTCTTTGTTGTTATCTTTAGCCTTCTCTCTCGCTCTTGGCTCAATGTTCATTTCCGTTGATAGTTATGAACCTCCGTCACCATTATTTCCAAAAACCGTATCCGAACTCCAGACCTTACCCTTTGCCAAAATCACTGAGATCATAAACTATAAAGAAAAGTTTGCCCCAAAAACCGCCAAAATTAAGGCAATGTTCACAGTGTGCAAAGGCTATGTCAAGTACCTTGAGAGCCTCTACAAATTTGGGAAGCCCATCGTAGATGTTTCTGGAATTGCCAAGACCAAATATGCCCTAACAACCAAAGCTATTCTTTCAGTGGAAGCTAGTATTAGCGGTAAAGTCGATAAGAAAACTTCCTTGAAGCTAAAGGAAAGCTGTGTTGGTGTTATAAAAGGGCTTCGTCATATTCAAAATGTAATCTCAAAGATCTCAGCCAAACATAATTACAAGGCTGATGCTAGCATCAGCTTACGTGAATCGAATAAGATTGGTGCTGTTATACTATATTTCAGGAATTCGATCACTGATTTCATGGATCTAGTTAACGATTTTGAGGAACAGAAGCTGAAGAAAGTTGCTCAACATGCAAGAGCACTTGAAGAAGGAAGAGAATTAACCGAAGAAAAAGCAGGGAACAACACCAATGAAAAAGTCAACGGTTCGGACCAAAGTAAGTATGAAAAGTATTTCCAGTACTTTGGTTCTTTCGTAGAAGGTAAGCAACACGGAAGAGAGTTAACCGAAGAACAAACCGGTGGAAAAATCAACAACTTGTATGAGAAATTTGCTAAATATATGCCTTACCTCAGAGGTAAAGATAATGGAAGAAAACTACGAGAAGATCAAGCAGGAGTCAATAACGGAGCTCAGAGCAGTGGAGAATTTAAAGGTTTATTTAAAGATTTCTTCAATTTCAATAGTGGTGAAAAAGTTCAAATGGATGCTGCTGGGAAGATGAAAGTCTCCGGAGAAGATGAATTCAGGTCAATGAACCGGGCACATCATAAACTATTTGTTTCGAATGAGGCATTATAGCATGTGATTCATCACAATAGACGAAGGAAACCATGAGTTCACCTATGTATATATATAATTATATATATTTTTTATTTTTATTATTATTTCTTAAAAATTTGAAAGAAAATGCCCTTAGATAATTATATTAAAATATTAAAAGTCAGGTATTTAAAAAAAAACTCTTCGAAACATCATTTATTTTGGAACAAAATAATTTATTCTGGAAAGAGAACCAGAACATAATGCTCCGACGATAAATAAGAACAATGTCTTGAACAAACTTAGAATCGGTTCAGACAGCTAAATCTACTATGAATAAAAGTTGCAAATAAAGTCATTTTAGCCTGTCCACGTATGCAGATATATTCAACCAATAGGAAATCAGTTTCTGGCCACGTCAGCGACCTTGCCTTTGTCGTTTGGGCTTGAAATCTTGCACGGCCTGGCCACGTTCAATTACGAAAAGCCCACAAACCCTAATTTTTAAAAATCGATTCGCACATCCCTTACTCTTCATCTTCTTCGTCTCTTCGTTTTACTTTTTCCAGTTTACAAACAATCAATTCACTCTCCCTTCCTATACACTCTTCAATCTCATTAACGGATTCTCTTTGCTTTCCCCCTCTGAGTTTCTATATAAAAAATTTTCCTCGATGTTTATATTTTCATCAAAAGTTGTATAATCCTCACAATTCTTTATTGCGATGACTTTGTTCGCTGTTCCCGACTCACTGTCATCTAACGGCAAAGCGGCGGTCAATTCCAGTCCGGTCAATTCCGTCGCCCAAACCGGTATCATTGCTGAGACATGGAAAGAGTGAGGTTTCTGCTGCTCATCAGATCTCTCAATCTTGGTCTCATCGTCATCGTATTTTTTCGTTAAGACATGACTAGGATTCGTGGCAGATGAGGAGAGCAAGAGTGTCTCTAGGCTCACTTATTTTCAGGGCGGCGATTAAGACGACCGAGACGGCGGAGATAGAAATGGTGTGTCCGTACGCATAAATATAAATAAAGATGGAAACTTTGGGGGGGGTTTGGGTTGATTGACTTTGTTATCGCAGTGAACATAGCACAGAGGAGTGCTAAATCTTTATTCGATTTAGGAAATGTTTTTAAAGAAATCTAAGGACATATCTTGGACTTCCAGGTACCTGTTTTCTTGGATTTCCAGGAAATGTATTCGATTTTTTTTCTTTTGGTAAAACCCTTTTGGGACTGACGTAATCTGGCTGCAACTGTTCTTCAGAGTTGAAAATTTTTCTGTTTTGGAAAGGTTTGGTTTGTCTTCTTCTTCTTTGGAAAGTGGTTGAGAAGCAAGCCTTCTTCAAGGGGATCTTTTTAGCAACCGGTGAAAGTTTCCTGCTTTTTGGAAGGTAACTATTTGTCTTCTTTGGAAAGTGATTCACTTTCATGGCTATTATACTGTATTTTGTGGAGTTTAAGTTATAAGCTTTATTTTGTATGTTGAAGGTTTTGCTTTTGGGATATATGTTTGGGGGTGTCTTTTCTGTTCCTGTGAATAATCCTCACTTGCGCAAATCCTGAAGTAGGCTCATCATCACCAATCTTGGTAATCACTTTTTCTTATTTTTTTTTGTTGTTGTTTATCTCTGTTTGGATACTAGAAAAGTCAGATTTGAACATGGTGATTTTAAGACAGAAAAAAACTGTAACATGGTGACTGAGTATAAGGTTTTTACAGGAGAGAATGACTTGAAGAACTCAAGTATGCAACTAGGTACAATAACAATTGTGAAGTTGCAAAGTCCTTAGGTCCTTAGCAGTCTCAAGGTTTTTCTTCTTTTTCTCAAGTTCTTAAATTCTCTGTCAGAGTTTTGATTTTGTAGAATGTTAAATTCTCATTTTCAGTTTTTATTTGTCTTTTGTGTTAGTATCATCGGGTGTCAGAATGTCGGGAATTCAAGTCTTTTAAATGCATGGAGAAAAGTATGGAACATAATGATGCTTTTCATATCTTTAACACTTTTATTCAAATAGTACTACATTAAATTTTAAATACAGAAATCGGTGGAACTACTCGAGACGTAGTGGAAGCTAATGTTAGACTCCGTGACTTGCCTGTCACTCCTCTTGACACTGGTGGTATCAGAGAAACCAATGATGTTGTCCTGAAAATAGATAATTTATTATTTTTTCAATGATTAATTGCCAAAGGTAATATCTTGAGATAGAGAGTGATGGCTACTGCAGGAGTTGAGATGTTAGAAACAGCTTATAAAGTTTCTGATGTGATAATCATGGCTGTGAATGCTGTCGAAGGCTGGACGGAAGAAGACACTGAGCTTCTTGGTAATTATTTGATGGTCATGGAGCCAGAATGCTCTAATGATTTGACCTTAGTTAGATGGTAGTGGAGCCAGAATTATGGCTGAGGGGTGAGAGCAAAGTCCGAGATATCATAAGCAAGTACGGAGAATTTCGAGCAGCTCCACAAAAATACTTACACCATATACGAATGCTACGAGAAAAGTGACACTAGGGTGGAGAAAGTGAACTGGAAAAGTGTTCTTTGAATGAGTTCTATGCTGCAAATGGGAAGCAGACATCTCCTGAGACTTCTTGGCCTACTGACCAACTTGGTTTGTTGGCTTCCTCATCGGATGGGTCAGGCTTGCAGCCAAAGATTGTCAGTGTGCACCGGTTACACAGAGTATAAACCAATGTAATGGGATCTAAGGATCAATATGTCAAAACTTGTAAGCAGTTCAGTCTATCCCTTGGTTTTAAATATGTTCAAAAACGAATATCAGTGTTCTTCACTACCAAAAAACAACATATATATAACATTAAATTTTATTTAATGAGTATTATAACTAATATTACCATTTTTTTAAAAAAAAATTGTAGACTAATTTCAAGTGATATTAAAGATGGTGTAATTTTAACCAAATATAAATAACATCATTCTCTACACATGTTTATAAATTTATAACTAGAAGTCTTCGGTGATAATTTGATAAACTTTACAATTAGAAAAAGATGACTGCATTGGGATATCCTTTGTCAAAGAACATACGGCTGAATTACTTTTACAGAACATCACTCCAAAAACATACGGCTAAATATAACATTCGTTTTTTCTTTATAAATTCATTTCTTATTTTTTTGTTCAAAAACAAATATTGTTTCTATCATAAATATATGATTTATACATTTCTGGACGTGTTTTAATATTTAAAATGTCACGTGAATGTACTTTGATCAAATCACAATGCATAAAACAAAAATAAAAGTTTAAACCAGGTGGAACTATACGCATGTGTGATGGATATCATGAATTACATGTATAGAACCATAAATTTACTTGACTTTTTAGTCATCATTTTATTAAATTATTAAATTATGTAATGTTTTTATTTTCTTATTAATTTATTATATTATGTAATGTTTTTATTTGTGCAACTGCAAACTTAAAATTATAATAATCATGTTTACTAATTTGTCGAATAATAGTTTATACAGCTTATATTGTATTCTTAAACATTTTTGTTGCATTTACACCCACATTTTACTTTAATACATGTTAGATTTAAAATGCGATAAGAACATAAATTTATACTTATCATTGTTGAATTTTATTAAAAACTAAATGCTATAAATTTATTTTATGTGATCGTGTACTTATTGACTACTAAATATTTGTTTATTGACTGATGATAAATCTATAACAAATTTATATGAGCAATGTTCAATTGATAATGACATAATTCTAAATCTTATAATATAATTAGTATAATTATTCAAGATCCACAATTGTGTGGATTATTAAAGTGTCATGCTCATATCTATAATGTATACAAAGTTAGAAAGTATATGATTTATTGTTTTAGTTATTTCAATTATTAAATATTTTAGAATCGAATGTAATGATATAAATTGTAAAAATATATACAACAGTTAAATATAAGACTAAAATAAAAATAATTGAAAAGAAAACTCACAAGGATAAAAAATATTGTTAATATTTGTATTTTTTTAGTTGAGACATTGAATAAAATTTGTTAAACGCCTCAAGACATGGAAACACACAATAAACATTATAAATGACTTTGTTAAAATAATTACCTATAGAAAGATAGACTTCAACATATTGACTTACAATACATGTGTTTGTGATAAATCTTATTGGTTGATTCAGTTGGCAATAAAGAGGAATAATTTACAATATATATAAGTTTATTAAATTAAGAAATAACAAAGCCACTGCCACGTTATCATCAGCTACTTTTGTAGTTTTGATCAACTATTTTTGTAGTTTTGATTATAAATTTTATAAATTATCTAAAATATTTTAATTTTTCACAGATTTTTTTTAAATTATAAATTTTATGATACATAAACTTTTACTATATTTAAACGTATTATCCGCGCGTAGCGCGGACAACGACTCTAGTACACATTAAAATGGAATCAAACTGTGACTGAGAAAGATTTACCAGTTGTAGTTTGAACTAAGTAAAATGGAAAAGCAAAAACGAGTCAGATTATCCAGATCTGACAATATTCTTTCCTTATGACTTTTTTTTTGGAAAACGGGCATCTCTTTCAATAAGACTTACCAGGTTAATTAATACTCCCTCCGTTCCTTAAAGATACATATTCTAGAAAAAAACTTTGTTTCTAAAAGATCCATTTTTTACATTTTCAATGCATGTTTTATTAACTAATTGTAAACTTCAAAAAACTTAATTGCACTAATTGATTTTCTATTGGCTAAAAATTATGGAAAGAAGATAAATACAAAAAACAATGCAAATTTATTGTGTTTTATTAAAAAGTGTGAAAAAACTAGAATATGGATCTTTTAGGAACNAAGATCCATTTTTTACATTTTCAATGCATGTTTTATTAACTAATTGTAAACTTCAAAAAACTTAATTGCACTAATTGATTTTCTATTGGCTAAAAATTATGGAAAGAAGATAAATACAAAAAACAATGCAAATTTATTGTGTTTTATTAAAAAGTGTGAAAAAACTAGAATATGGATCTTTTAGGAACAGAGGGAGTATTAGTTTTCGGAAAGGTTGCAACGCTAAACCCACAGTCAAGAATGTCGATTTGCGAAAGAGAGAAATGAACCACATATATGATTCTATTCATAACTACATAAGACACGGACACATATGCCAATTCCATGAATATTACTTCCTAAAACATTTGAGATTTGCCAATGTTACGAATCTTACTTTCTTAAATACTATAAAGATAAATTATAGAGGACACTAAATTACCGGAAGTTTTCAACAAAATTCTTACAGAGATTTCCACAAATATGTTTACGATAGTTTCCATCTAATTTTACGTTAAATATTAATTTAAAATAGCACTCAAATAAATAAAACCAAAATTTAAAATAAAATTTTAATAAGAACTATTTATAAACTAAAATTAAAATAAAATTTAAAACTAAATATTGCCAATTTTTTATTATTAAAATAACAAGATGTATTAAAGTAAAAATATTAAAGAAAATGGCAGAAGAAAATATATATAGGCTTCAATTGGTGACGATGAAAATGAACAAAATGAAAAGAAAAAAATTGAATAAATTTTCATTTAAAAAATTGAATTGAAAAAAAAATTCAACATTTATGAACAAACGTTCCTCATCAATTTAAGAAGAGGAAAATACTCTTTCGTTAATTCCTCTAATCATGAGGAACATAGAGGAATGTGGTAGGGTCCATAAAAATTAGTTTGACAAAAAATAAACTTAATTGGTATCAATTTTGAATAATAACAAACTCATCATCTTTTTTTCTGTAAAAGGTGGTCACCAATTGAAGCTATAGTTATTCGGCCTATTGTTTAATTATGCGATAAGAAAATTATTAGGTAGAGATACCGCAAGTTTCATTTAGTTATATATAGATAAGCATCCCATGTCCTTTTCTTTCACAATAAAAATAAAGGGGAGAAAAAAAAAGCTAAATAAAGATGAACTCATGGCTTCCTTCATCGGTTTTGATGAATTGCATGATATTGTGCTTCCTTAGAGAAAAATAGTTTATAATGTATGTGCCCAGTTCAGTGACCTGAATCATTTTTTCCGGCGACTTTGATCTGCCTAGCAGCACCCATTCGAACTTTTTCACCACCATTGAAGTTGAAGAAATATTTGAATAAACCTTTAAATTCTCCACTGCTCTGAGCTTCGGCATTGGCTCCTGCTTTATTTTCTAGTAGTTTTCTTCCATGATCTTTACCATTGAGGTAAGGGATATATTTAGCAAATTTCTCATACAAATTGTTGATTTTTCCACCTGTTTGTTCTTCGGTTAACTCTCTTCCGTGTTGCTTACCTTCTAGGAAAGAACCAAAGAACTGGAAATACTTTCCATACTTACTTTGGTCCGAACCGTNCGTAAGCTGATGCTAGCATCAGCCTTGTAATTATGTTTGGCTGAGATCTTTGAGATTACATTTTGAATATGACGAAGCCCTTTTATAAAACCAACACAGCTTTCCTTTAGCTTCAAGGAAGTTTTCTTATCGACTTTACCGCTAATACTAGCTTCCACTGAAAGAATAGCTCTGGTTGTTAGGGCATATTTGGTCTTGGAAATTCCAGAAACATCTACGACGGGCTTCCCAAATTTGTAGAGGCTCTCAAGGTACTTGACATAGCCTTTGCACACTGTGAACATTGCCTTAATTTTGGCGGTTTTTGGGGCAAACTTTTCTTTATGGTTTATGATCTCAGTGATTTTGGCAAAGGGTAAGGTCTGGAGTTCGGATACGGTTTTTGGAAATAATGGTGACGGAGGTTCATAACTATCAACAGAAAGGAACATTGAGCCAAAGGCGAGAGAGAAGGCTAAAGATAACAACAAAGAGATCCTTGCCATGGTTGTATTGCTTATGGCAAGTAAATGTTAAAGAAAAACTAAAAGGGAGAGAAATATAAGAAAGAAGTGCCTTCAGATTTGAGATCTTGGGAAGATATATATACTTTGTTCTGAATTTTTATAAGCTAATTATAGGATACAAAAATGGTTAGTCATGAGAAAGAAAAAAACAACAAACAATAAGATATTGATGGAAGTCTGTTAATTTTTCTTTTGTAAGAGTTTTAGTGAATGATACAAGAAATAGGAGGAAAAATCATATCAGTTTCAATCAAATCGTTACTGAAGTTAAAACAAATAAAACAAAAATTCCTATCTGGAATGAAATAAATGGAAACTGTTACCTAGAAGAAAAAACAAAAAAAACACTGTTACCTAGGTTTTTCGTGTTATGATTTTAGTTTCTTTATATATGAGTGCATACTTCTCTAACAGATCGATAATGGTGGCTCCTTCCTCCTTATCAGATTAAATGTTATTTAAGAAATGATGTTCTTTTGAAATAAAATGTATCAAGTAGCCTTCCCATTAAACCAGTGGCGCTTGAGGGAATAAACCCAATAAGGTGAACCCGGATTCAAACTTCACTGGCCACACTGATATAGGTTATTGCTTTCGACCCATTTGAATGCCCGGGAGAGGGTATATCTGTGGGCTGTACCTCCACCTGGGGTTTAGATCTGTGTCTTTAATAGACCCGGGTTTAACCCTTTTAGTTTACAAAAAAAAAGTATCTTTCCTGTTTTATGACACGGCTTATCAATGACCTAGACAAAGATTCACAAATGAGTGTAATTCAAAAGAAGGGATTGTATCTGCTTCAAATGTGACGGGAAGTACTTCAAAAGTCATAGTTGTTATATGAGGAAATTCCATAAAAATACTCTAACAAATTTCATTAAACCTTTTAATATTTAAATTTTTCGTGCTCAGTTAATATCCATCTAATTCTTTCGCTCGCTTTAACACATTTTTTTTTAAATAATACCTCTTTTGATATCCAACCATTGTTTATATTAATTAAAATATTAATAAATTTCAAAAATAAATAAACAAATCTCCAAAATCAAAGAAAAATATAAAAGATTTTGAAATTTATATTAATATTTAGGACAGAAAGTAAATAAAATAAGGAGAAATTTTAAATTTCTAAAAATTTAATTTTGGAGGAAACAAATTGATGTTTATTTGAGAAAAAAAACTAACATCAATAGTTAAAACCTACAAGTTTTAATACAAATTTAAGATTATACAAAATTTAGTTAATTTTATTTCTCAAACACAAAACTAAATTACATTTTTCTGAGATTTTAAAATTTTTATTCATTTTTAAAAAAATCAATTGAAACACTTTATTATTTTTAATAAAATAAATAATGTTTGGATATTAAAATAGACACAGTTTTAATAGTTTTTGTATTAAAATGAACAAAATAACTAGTTAAAATATTAAAATGCATATAAAATAATTTTGAATATTAAAAATTTTAATAAAATTTAGTTGATTTATTTTTATGGAATTTTTTTTTATATTAAAGTGCCGCAAGTATTGAAGGTAGTGAGGAAGAATCGAGAGTATGAAGAGGTAAGCTATAATAGAACAAGAACTGATGGATGTGTTCCTAAATTCTTATTTTGATGATTAATTCTCTTATTTAAGACTATAACAGTGCATGGCATTGGAAATACATAAATGATTATTCCTCTGTATTGCGTCTATGCCTATGCCCTTTGTCTTGACGACAATGTTAGTCTTATCTTGTCAGTGCAACTATTAGCACATCTTATTTTGTGCTTACACCACAAGAAAATATACCAGACGCCAACAACAAAAACAACCATATTTTGGCTGAAAATGGCTACTCCCAACAAACTAGTCGAAAACATTCATTAGTACTATTTTGTCGAAATTTATTTTTCCAGAATTTGTGAGAAATTTCTGATAAATTATAGAGGACACTGAATTACCGGAAGTTTTCAACAAAAGTTTTACAGCGATTTCCACAAACATGTTTACGATAGTTTCCATCTAATTTTACGTTAAATATTAATTTAAAATAGCACTCAAATAAATAAAAACAAAATTTAAAATTGAATTTTAATAAGAACTATTTATTAACTAAAAAAAAATTAAAACTAAATATTGCCAATTTTTTATTATTAAAATAACAAGATGTATTAAAGTAAAAATATTAAAGAAAATGGCAGAAGAAAATATATATATGCTTCAATTTGTGAGGATGAAAATGAACAAAATGAAAAGAACAAAAATTGAATAAATTTTCATTTAAGGAATTGAATTCAAAAAAAAAATTCAACATTTAGGAACAAACGTTCCTCATCAATTTAAGAAGAGGAAAATACTCTTTCGGTAATTCCTCTAATCATGAGGAACATAGAGGAATGTGGTAGGGTCCATAAAAATTAGTTTGACAAAAAAATAAACTTAATTGGTATCAACTTTGAATAATAACAAACTCATCATCTTTTTTTCTGTAAAAGGTGGTCACCAATTGAAGCTATAGTTATTCGGCCTATTGTTTAATTATGTGATAAGAAAATTATTAGGTAGAGATACCGCAAGTTTCATTTAGTTATATATAGATAAGCATCCCATGTCATTTTCTTTCACAATAATAATAAAAGGGAGAAAAAAAAAAGCTAAATAAAGATGAACTCATGGCTTCCTTCATCTGTTTTGATGAATTGCATGATATTGTGCTTCCTTAGAGAAAAATAGTTTATAATGTATGTGCCCAGTTCAGTGACCTGAATCAATTTTTTCCGGCGACTTTGATCTGCCTAGCAGCACCCATTCGAACTTTTTCACCACCATTGAAGTTGAAGAGATATTTGAATAAACCTTTAAATTCTCCACTGCTCTGAGCTTCGGCATTCGCTCCTGCTTTATTTTCTAGTAGTTTTCTTCCATGATCTTTACCATTGAGGTAAGGGATATATTTAGCAAATTTCTCATACAAATTGTTGATTTTTCCACCTGTTTGTTCTTCGGTTAACTCTCTTCCGTGTTGCTTACCTTCTAGGAAAGAACCAAAGAACTGGAAATACTTTCCATACTTACTTTGGTCCGAACCGT